TCTCAAAAAGAAAAAAAAATGTTGCATAATAAAAATTAAAGTAGGTCTTGAAGTTTCGCGGAACTGTGCAGCGTCAGCGATGTCTTATAACCCGGTTGCTAAACCCAAGCCAGCAGCCTGCACGACCTCTCCAGCTCATTGGCGACAGAAAATTACCTCAAGGCAGAGCACCACCCTTTTCCGGCGTGGAAAGGTGTCGTAAAGAGCCACAATGCGCAGGCGTCGTTGTTCGCGTTTCCTCGCTCTACTGCCTCACCCGATGACGCCTGCGCAGTCAGTGGGCCAAGTGCATTATCGCGGTCCCCGGGCAAAGTCTATCGCGGCGCCGCTGGCTCTGCGAGCGTAATAGTACCGCGCGCCGCTCGGCTGTTAACAGCAAGGCGCGGGTGGGTCCTCAGGCCGGGCGGCGCGGGTCTGCTCTAGTTCACCAGACCCGAATTCTGTGAGCAGCCGCGATGTCGATCTTCACCCCCACCAACCAGATCCGCCTAACCAATGTGGCCGTGGTACGGATGAAGCGGGGTGGGAAGCGCTTCGAAATCGCCTGCTACAAAAACAAGGTCGTCGGCTGGCGGAGTGGCGTGTGAGTTAACCTTTCCCTCGGGCCCTGGCCAGAGCCGGTAGCCAAATCGAGTGAAGGGGCCAACTTGGGATCTGGTCAGGGGTGAAATGAAAAACGTAACTCCTGCTGTGACCATGAGAAGTCGCTGTCCTTCTCTAGCTTGGCGCTTAAGCAAAAGGTTTCTTTTTTTGACTGGTTCAGATTCGGTTGTTGGTTTGGGGACTTGTTTAGTTGGAATCATAAGAGCTACAGCCAATAAATTCAACAATGCTAGGTCTTTTCCCAGAATAGTGATAAAGGTTAGGAGCCTAGTCTTCCAAATACTGTCATAGTTATAGTACATCTGATGTCACAGATCTCAGTAGTCCCATGGAGTCACCCAAGTGCGTAGTGTCTTCACTACCGCCATCTAGGGACCGGGATTCCCTGGCAGCAACTTGCCCCGCCCTGCCCCACCCTCCAGTTTCTTACGTACTCGTGTGACATTTTTCTCCGATGAGTAAGTGGAATTACAAATGAAGTTGTGAGTTTTGAAATAACGAGGGTTATTTATGAGTATTTGTTGTTTCTTACTATTTATGTTGTAACCATCTTGTATTTAAATGGTAATGAATGTCCCAAGTTTCAAATATATTCACGTAGGACTTTCTCTCCTGCCCTCACAAGGGAAAAAGACCTTGATGAAGTTCTGCAGACCCACTCAGTGTTTGTAAATGTTTCTAAAGGTCAGGTTGCAAAGAAGGAAGATCTCATCAGTGCATTTGGAACAGATGACCAAACTGAAATCTGTAAGCAGGTGGGTTCTGCTAAATGTCTTCTACCAAAACCTTCCGAAGTTAAATTTTCTACTGAATTAACCTAATTTTGCCCAATTACAGTAATACCTGCAAATCTGATCTCTTCAAGTATTTTTTCCTTTAGAACTTATAAAAGATTGATTTTTCTGCTTTCCCCACCTAATCCCCATGAAATGAGACTTTGAAACACAAGATAATCCAGTGCATCCCTTAGGCATCTCTTCATATCATCACCTATATATCAGTAGCTGGAGAGGAGGAAATTTAATTTTCTCCCCAATTAACAAATCTTGTAGTTAGGTAACATGCAGAGTGTAAAAGTGAAAAAATATTGCTTTCTTCAATATGTTGGGGTTGTCTTTTTAGATCTTGACTAAAGGAGAAGTTCAAGTATCAGATAAAGAAAGGCACACACAACTGGAACAGATGTTTAGAGACATTGCAACTATTGTAGCAGACAAATGTGTGAACCCTGAAACAAAGCGGCCATACACTGTTATCCTTATTGAGAGAGCCATGAAGGACATCCACTATTCAGTCAAACCCAACAAGAGCACAAAACAGCAGGTGAGTGGGTTTGGTTTTTTTTTTTTTTTTGCAGTTTTTGGCCGGGGCTGGGTTTGAACCCACCACCACCGGCATATGGGTTGGTGCCCTACTCCTATGGTGGCCATAGGTGCCACCTAGGTGAGTGTTTGTTTTGTTTTTTTTAGAGACAGAGTCTCACTTTGTCACCCTTGGTGGAGTGCCATGGCGTCACACTGCTCACAGCAACCTCCAACTCCTGGGCTTAGGCGATTCTCTTGCCTCAGCCTCCTGAGTAGCTGGGACTACAGGCACCCGCCACAATGCCCGGCTATTTTTTTGTTGCAGTTTGGCTGGGACCGGGTTTGAACCCGCCACCCTCGGTATATGGGGCCGGTGCCCTACCCACTGAGCCACAGGTGAGTGGTTTTTAATGTCATGAAAACTTGTTCCACACAAATCTCTTTTCCTTGAAGAAATCATTAAAATAATGGGTGTTCCTAGAAGCAAGTGGCAAGGAGATTTTAGGAAGAGACAGGGGACAGATTAGAAGTTATAAAGAAAGGTAAAATTTTTGTTTCACAAAACTAAACATGACCATACATAGGGAAGTCTCTTCATTTTTCCCATTTAAATCAAACTTATAAAGACAAGTCCCTGTTGTGTTTGTTTTGTTCTGTGATTGAAGCTAGAGTGCAGTGGCATTATCATAGTGCACTGCAGCCTCAAACTTCTGAGTTCAAGCAGTCTTCCTGCCTCAGCCTCCCAGAGTTCGAGGCATGAGCAACTGTGTGCAGTCAAAAGTCACTCTTTTAAAGTGGATAGTTCATTGAAATATTCTCAAAGTGTTAGAACCTCCCCTACTACCTAATTTGAGAACATCTTCCTCACCCAAAAAAACCTTATACTGGGGCAGTGCCTATGGCTCAGTGGGTAGGGCGCCGGGCCTATATTCCAACGGTGGTGAGTTCAAACCCACCCCCACCAAACTACAACAAAAAAATAGCTGGGCATTGTAGTGGGCGCCTATAATCCCAGCTACTCTGGCGGCTGAGGCAAAAGAATCACTTAAGCCCAAGAACTAGAGGTTGCTGTGAGCTATGATGCCAAGGCACCCTACTGAGGGCAATAAAGTGAAACTCTGTCTCTAAAAAAATAAAATAAAATCTTATACCCATTAGTAATTACTTCTCCCCTGCTGACAGGGGGTGACTGCTAATCAGCCTCTGTCTTTATGGGCTTCTCTATTGTGGACATTTCATGTAAATGGAATCATACAACATGTGGCCTTTCAGGGCTCATCCAAGTTGTAGCGTGCATCACTACTTTATTTCTTTTTGTTACTGAATAATATCCCATTCTGTGGAAATACCATGTTATTTATGTATTCATCAGTTGATGAACATTTTGGTGTTGAGCTATTATGAAAAATGCTGGAAACTGCCGAACAACTGTGCCATTTTACATTACCACCATTCGTATGTAAGAGTTTCAGGCTGCACAGTGGCTCACACCTGTAATCCTAATACTCTGGGAGGCCAAGATGGGTGGATTGCTTGAGCTCACGAGTTCAGAGACCAGCCTGAGCAAGAGTGAGACCCCTGTCTCTACTAAAAACAGAAAAACTGAGGCAAGAAGATCACTTGAGCCCAAGAGTTTGAGGTTGCTGTGAGCTATGACACCACAGCACTCTACCCAGGGCAACAGTTTGAGACTGTGTCTCAAAAAAAAAAGAGGGCAACACCTGTGGCTCAGTGAGTAGGGTGCTGGCCCCAGATACCAAGGGTGTGGGTTCAAACCCAGCCCCAGCCAGACTGCAACAACAACAAAAAAAAATAGCCAGGCATTGTGGCGGGTGCCTGTAGTCCCAGCTACTCAGGAGACTAAGGCAAGAGAATGGCCTAAGCCCAAGAGCTAGAGGTTGCTGTGAGCTATGATGCCACAGCACTCTACCAAGGGTGACAAAGTGAGACAGAGTCTCTAAAAAAAAAGTTTCAGTTTCTCCATATACTTGGCAATAGTTGTTATTGTCTGCCTTTTTGATTATAGGTATCCTGGTAATACCTTCTTGTGGTTTTGATTTGTTTGCTCATTAACTAATGATTTGAGCATATTTTCATGTCTTTATTGATGCTTTGTCTTTGGAGAAATTTCTTCAGATTCTTTACCCATTTCTTAATTGATTATTTATCTTTTTGTTGTTGTTAGAGTTTGGGGGGTTTTTTTTAACATGTTTTGGATACTAGTCTCTTCTCAAATGTATGATTGGCAAATATTTTCTCCCATTCTGTTAAGTTGTCTTTTCACTTTCTTTTTTTAAGACAGAGTCTCACTTTGTCACCCTCAGTAGAGTGCTGTAGCCTCATAGCTCACAGCAACCTCAAACTCCTGGGCTTAAGGGATTCTTTGTGTGAGCTCATCAGCTCACTGTCTTTCTTTTTTTTTTTTTTTTTTTGGCTGGGGCTGGGTTTGAACCCACCACCTCCAGCATATGGGGCCGGCATCCTACTCCTTTGAGCCACAGGCGCCACCCCTCACTGTCCTTTTTTTTTTTTTTTTTTTTTTTAAGCACAAAAGTTTTTAATCTCAATGAAGTCTAATTTTTCTATGTTATTCTGTTGTTTGTTACATTCTTCATGCCATATCTAGGAGGCCATTACCTAATCTAACTAGATGAAAGCCGCTTTGTGTATTAATACCTTTTGAAATAATGTAGTAGAAGAAATAAATTGCAGACATGCTCAATTTTGTCTCGATAGGCTTTGGAAGTGATAAAGCAGTTAAAGGAGAACATGAAGATAGAACGTGCGCACATGAGGCTTCGGTTTATTCTTCCAGTGAATGAAGGGAAGAAGCTGAAAGAAAAGCTCAAGCCACTGATCAAGGTTATAGAAAGTGAAGACTACAGTCAACAGTTAGAAATTGTAAGAGCAAAATATTCTTGTTTCTTTGCTTCATGTAAATAGAATACAGTTGAACCTTTGTAAATTGACCACTCAAGGGACTGTAACAAACAGGTCAACATG